TGTCAAGATCTTTGAAATTAGTCCAATCTCTATTTCCCGTTTTGTCTCTTTAGTGAACTTGTCGACGATACTGATAACCTTCACCAGGATTGCTCCTAGAATGCCTATGTGATGTTAAATTGAACAATTAAGCCCTTTTTCCAAGAACACGGTTGTTTCAGGATAGAGAGGAATTGATGATAAGTTTTGTGCATTCTTCCGATCCTCGTGCTGATCAGTAGATGATGTAATCTCGGAAGCCACTTCAACTGCGCGTACTGACTTTGAATTAGGCTGTTTTATAGTCTCAAACCTACGCAATTTATCATCATACAGTTTTGTTATTAAGTCAAAAATCCTACTTTATTTACTCTCGGTCATGCTCTTAAATTCTATAAAAATCATCCAAAGACATTATCGTGGCCAAATCACGCCGGAGCTTTGACTTAATATCTATAGACTTAAGCAACTTATTCCGTTCTGTATTATAGGTCACACTTAGTTTCTGAATAGAAGCCTGGTGGAGATACTCATTAACCTTATCCGAGTTGTAGGGTATCTTAAGTCACAGAACTTAGGATTGATACCATAACGTTTACAATAGTTAAAAAAGTAAATAGGAAGATTGACTAACAATTATTTCCTTTGACTGGCTGTATTCAGATTGGCAATTTTACTACCGTAGTTTAATTAAAAATATTAAGACCAAGATGTTGTGGCCTCTGGTATATCCGCAGTCTCATTTCAATTAAGAGAAGTGGGTTGACCTCGTTGTCGCAACTTGGTCTTGTCATAAAGGAGATACAATAGAACGCACCTAGTCCGAATTCATCTGCCATAGTAGTTGTCATTATTCCCAACATAAGACAGTGGATTTAAAACATTCTTAAACGTTTCGCTGGCATCGTAGTCGGCATCATAATTAAGTATTTCCATTCTCCGCACAAAGCTACGAACTCATCAAAAAGACAAGTAAAGTCAATCGATAGACAAACGTTCTGCCGCATGCGACCAGAGATAGGCGTCCACAGTTTGCTCAGATAACATGGGTTTAATCAAGGAGAGGGCACGTGAAGGGAAGGCCTGATATCTGCAAGCATGATAATCAAAACTTAGGTGCTCTGATCCATGAAGCGGCAGCGTACGTGCTTCTATAGCTTTGAGAAATAGCGCCTGGAGTGACATGCAAACCGAGACTGGAACCGAGTGAAATCGGTAAACTATCAAGATAAGAAACGGATATATAAGACAATGAGGAGATCCAGATTGGAGCCCTGTGTCGGATCAGCCAATTCAAAGATAGGAGGTCGGGGTGAATAGCAATGTGATGAGGCCACACTTGATTTGCCACAAAAGGGTACACATTTTTACGAGTGGAATGTAAACAAGTGAGAAGTTGTGATAGGGCGGCAGTGGGATTGAGGGTTAAAGAGTAGATAAATAGATAATGACAGTAAGAGGAGTGATAGTGTAACCGTTTGTCGAGGGATTGACCTCGCTTGTCTCTTTGACAAGTTCGTGGCTTGATGCGGAGAAGGCCAAAACTCACTGATGATGCCGACTATGATGCCGGCAAAACGTTTGAGAAG